AAAGGTAATAATATAGGAGATTGTCTATTATCTCATTTAGGGCCACGCCGTGTGCTCTAGTTCGAATCTCGCGCTGCGTGTTATGTGTTTGTTCGTTTGCCTGTGATTATTCACATTTAATCAGCTGATTGTCTCTCGTGGCGGACAGTATTTGTTCTTATGGATAATCATAAGCTGATTGGTTTGTATTGAATCATGAATATGCGCATGCGCGAGATATGGGTCTCATAATTAAAAAGATGGCGACTTTGACAGTTGCGCAGATCAACGAGTACAAACTAAAACGTTACCAAGCTTTAATTAGGTAATTTCTGTGTTGATTGGAAGGTATCGAAAGAGTCATTGACGGCAATCATGATTAGTACAAGTCGCGCCCCGATCAAAACTTGTATTCGCGTTTGATTGTGGGGAAAGTAATCTTTATCAACACAAATGTCGCACATGCGCGACGCGACGACCACCGCTCTTCAAGCTTTCTGTGTGTATGCTATGCGTTGTTTGTGTTGTCTGGCTTGCGTAATTCAATATAGTAGGGGTGGGTCACTACCTGTCATTTTAAGCTGAATTCATTGCGACAGTTGGAAAAGTTAGGGTTAGGTTGTTGGACTACAGTGTCGAGGCGCTACGCCGTGTGAGTTAGGTCGATTCCCTGTTGTGTGTTGTTATGTGAATGTTCGTTTGCCAGTATTTATAGTACTCGAGGCTTTAAACCAATTTCTAATTACACGTAAATCCACTGGTTTTTTTTACAGCGTATGCTCTCCAACTCTATTAACCGTATAACACGTACACATACCTCAAATACTGTGAAATAATTTATTTCGCTTGGAATTAATTTTTCGCTATTTTCGCTGAAGGAATGGTTCAGTTAAAATAAAATCCAGCGAACATTCCCTTTTTCATAGATTTTACTTTCAACTCGTCAAAAATCAGCGAAATTAAATTCCATACAAAACACCCTAAATGTCTTTCCAGTGAAAATTAATTCCAGCTAAAATAAAGTATTTTACAGTATGTTTTCCAATTTTATTAACTATAACACGTACACTTAGCACACAGACCTCAAATATACATGTTCGTGTCTCTTACGGGCGCACCATTGAAACCTGGCGACGTAATTAATCGACACAGATACTTAAATTGCAAACACGGAACAATTAACAGAAAAAAAGTAAAAAAAATATTCATCCTTCGCAGGAACAAAAAATAAATAAATGCAATATCACCAAAACAAACAAGCCGTGGGGGCAAACTGGGGGAGATACAAAGAATTCAAGGAAATGTTTGAAATGGAAAATAACAAATACTGATCCCCAAGAGTCAATCTCTCGGTTTCACGACCTCAGAATCGAAACAGGGAGGCATAATAAACCAAACTTACCAACAGAAAAAAAAATATGCAAACTTTACTCAAAGAAATAAAGGACGAATACAATATTACGAAGAAGACAGAAAAACAAATAAACGATTTCACAAATTTTAGAGAACTTGAAGAGAGCCAACGAGTAATACAAATATTGCATTGACCAAATTTATAAACAAAAAAAAAACTTGATCACGAGACAACAACGTTTCTTGTCGACATGGCATAACCATCATTTTATGTTTATTGTTCTTACTATCTTACCATCGGGCAGAATTTTTGTTTATAAGTGTTGTAGTTTTAAGCTTGATGTGTGAGCTTACATTTCTGTAGAGATGTATTTCACGGTATTGTAGCAGTATTTTTTTTCTTTTTTAAGATGTGTTAGTATTTCGTCCTTTATTTAATCTTTTGTTCAATGTAACGGTTTGAATTCCCCCAGGCGAATTTTGAGCGTTTAAAAATAAAAACAAATATGTCACAGAAGTTGTTGTCGTTAGAGGGCGCAATTAATTTATTTAGTGTGGGTAGTTGACGTTTTCACCTGCCTTGTTAAGAACAAGACTGACGCGAAACTTTTTTTAAAGCTGTAAAAATGGTATTATTCATACATAAAGGATGTTGTTTCTACAACGACAATGTAATCTTTGGCTCTAAAATGAGTATGTTGCGGTTTTTAAACACAATACTACTGGTAATTTCGAATGACGTAGTTTATTCATATTTATAATGTATGATGTAGTATGACATTGACGTCACTAAGTGTTACTGTAAAATACTTTATTTT